CCTCAACCTAGACTTTGGTGAATATTCTCAGACTGGCCACCAGCCCAAAAGGAAGGGCTCAGAATGTTACATGAAAATAGCGAACCACAAAAAGGCTTGGTATTTTGGGGCAATGGGAATGTGGAAGTAGGTGTCCCTGAGGTTCACAGTGGCCATAAACACTCCCTAGAGAAGATGTTTCCGTACACTGTAAATACTTTCCACACAGAACTGTGTTGTATCACAGGAAACTGTTCAATCTTCTTAGTTTTATGATCAAGTGGAATTTCATTAAGGGCTTTGGGACCACAAAGATGTGGGAGTAAAACCCCCGGAAAAGCTGATCAGCAGGAACCGGGACAGACACCTCCTATTCCGATAAATCCCTGATCTCTCCCAAGAGACCCTCTGCCCTTGTCCTGTCTCTGAGGGGATAAATGAACAGAAAAAAGGTATGAGGGGGGAGTGAGGAGAATAGAGTGACAATTCCAAGTGGTACCATTTCCTTATTAATGGCATGAAGTACGATCTCCAAAATCCTCTCCCATTGCTGGAGGAGCCTGGACAGCTTTCCACCCACCCTGAAATCTATGTCATTTAGGATCCTTACTGGTGGTTTTGGGGCCAGAAAAAAGGAAGCTCCCTTTTGGTCTATCCTTGTTGGCCCAATTCTTGGGCGAGTCCTTCCAAAATCTTTGTCAGCCCTGATTAAGGGGGGCTCAAAAAACTTCTTCCCCTTATCCTTTTTGGCCTTGATAGGGAGCTTTTTCCCCTTTTTGGCAGAAACCTCAAAAGGGCAGACCACAGAGTCGGACTTTTCACATCCATTAGCCCTCCCAGGCCTTAACCCACACTGCCCTCTGGGTTGAGAAGTGCTGCCGTTTTAGCTGATGTCCTGACCATCTCTACCGCAACGTCTGCTAAGTAGGAGACTGCCTTATTGACCACCTCCAGGGATTCTAACACCTGTTCTGTCTGGTACCCCTGGAGACATGATCAATTACGCTATGCATCCAAGCATTATTATTCCTAGCAATGCAGGCAGATGTCAGGGCTGGGGCCATAGTAGCGGCATTGTCATTCGAAGCTCTATGCAACAGCATCTCAGACCTACGGTCCATCTGATCCCTGATGTTACTTGCATCCTCAAAAGACAGGTCAGATTTTTTAGATGCTTGCAACAATGCAGCATCTAGTTTAGGAGTCAAAGAATGTATCTTCCTCTTTCCCAAAGGGGTACCGCCTCTTCCAGGTTTTTAATTTAAAACCTCCCGGATCCTTCCACTCTCTCAAAACAATATCTTTGAGCGTTTGATGCACCCTAGCCTGAGGTCTATCCAACCCCCTGTACATATTATCATGGGCTGAGACCTGCATTGGTGGTTCAGGGATATCTTTTGAGACATAAATAGCACTTAGGAGCCCCTCCATAACTGCCACCGCAAAAAGGTGTCTACCCAGTATGGATTCCTTGCTAGCCTGGCTAGCACCTTCCAGATCTTCCCACTCTTCCAGGCAGCTTTGGTCAGAGACACCAGCCTCCTCTGTGACCTGAGAAGATGAGGGTCCCAGACCCCCCCATTGCTTCCCCATTCAATTCCCCTCCTGGGAAGATGAACCTTCCCTAGAGGATCGTGTATCCACCTCCCTGGATGTCAGAGCTGTCTTAAAGGATTGTAAGGTTATTATTATTATTATTATTATTATTATTATTATTAAACAGGATTTATATAGCGCCAACAGTTTGCTCAGCGCTTTACAATATAACAAGAGACAATACAGCAACAATACGTTCAATACAAGAGGTATTTGAGGGCCCTGCTCCTTGGAGCTTACAATCTAGGAGGGAGGGGCTAGTGGTACAAAAAGGTAGTAACTGTGGGGGGTGGACTGGTTGGAAAAGTAGAAGATTCCAGTATTAGCTAAGGGTAGGATAGGCTTCCCTGAAGAGATAGGTTTTCAGAGATCGCCTAAAAGTGAGCAGAGTAGGCGATAGTCTGATAAATTGGGGTAGAGAGTTCCAGAGGATGGGGGAAGCTCTGGAGAAGTCCTGGAGACGAGCATGGGAGGAGGAGACAAGGGAGCTAGAGAGTAGAAGGTCTTGCGAGGAGAGTATGGTTTGGGTGATATTTAGAGACAAGATCGGTGCTGTAATTTGGGGCAGAGTTATAAATGGCATTATACGTTATAGTTAATGTTTTGAATTTTATCCGTTGGGCAACGGGAAGCCAGTGGAGGGATTGGCAGAGTGGGGTGGCAAATACAGAACAGTTAGTAAGGTGGATGAGTCTGGCAGCAGCATTGATAGACTGAAGAGGGGATAGCCTGCGATGAGGTAGACCAATGAGGAGGGAGTTTCAATAGTCAAGGCGAGATATAACCGGGGAGTGAATAAGTTGCTTAGTGGTTTCTACGGTTAGGAACGGGCATATCTTGGAGATGTTGCGGAGGTGAAGTCTACAAGATTTGGACAGTGATTGGATTTGGGACTGAAAGGACAGATGGGAGTCTAGGATTACACCTAGTACCCTGGCATGAGGGGAGGGACTGATGATTGTGTTATTGATCTTGATGGAGAAGTCAGGGGGGGGGGCACGGGCTGGGGGGAATACTAAGAGCTCAGTTTTGGAAAGATTGAGTTTGAGGAAGTGGAGTGACATCCATGCCGATACGTCACTTAGTAGGTTAGTAATGCGAGAGGAGACTGAAGGGGTGAGGTGTGGGGTAGAAAGATAGATTTGTGTGTCATCAGCATAGAGATGGTACTTAAAGCCGTGGGAGTTTATCAAGTGACCAAGGGAGGAGGTGTAGATGGAGTAGAGAAGGGGTCCAAGGACAGAACCTTGAGGGACCCCTACAGAAAGAGGGAGTGAAGAGGAGCAGGCAGCGTTATAGGTAACGCTGAAGGAGCGCTGCGATAGGTAGGAGGAGAACCAGGAGAGAGCAGAGTCTCTGAGGTAAAGAGAGTGGAGTTTTTTGAGGAGGAGGGGCTGGTCAACCATATCAAAAGCCGCAGAGAGGTCAAGTAGTAAGAGTACGGAGTAGTGGCCATTGGTTTTAGTAGATCATTAGTGAGTTTTAGTAGGGCAGTTTCAGTGGAGTGTAGTGAGCGAAAGCCAGAATGTAAAGGGTCAAGAAGGTTGTTGTCGGTGAAGTGGGAGCTCAGGAGATTGTAGACTAATCGTTCTAGGATTTTCGAGGTAAATGGCAGCAGGGAGATGGGTCTTAAGTTGTTCAGGTTGGTGGGGTCCAGGGAGGGCTTTTTAAGTATCGGAGTGATGTGCGCATGCTTTAGAGGGGAGGGGAAGGCAACAATAGAGAGGGAAAGATTGAAGATGTGAGTGAGGGAGCATAGGATGGAAGAAGAGAGTGACCGTAGTAGTTGTGCGGAGACAGGATCCAGGGGGCAGGTGGTGAGACGGGCTTCTGAGAAAACCTTAGTGACCTCTTCGGTAGTGGCAAGGTCAAAAGAGGAAAGTGTTGAGGGAGGTTTAGTATAAGGTATGCTAAGTGGGATGGATGTCTGTGCAGTGGCGATGCCTCTAAGAATTGCGTCAATCTTGTTTTTGTAATGATTTGCAATCTCGTGAGCAGTGAGTGAGGTACTGGGTGGGGGTGGAGGTGGAGAAAGTAGAGAGTTAAAAGTAGAGAAGAGACGACGAGGACTGGATGGTAAGGTAGCTAACATCTCCATTTGCACCTACAAAAAAATCCTTCATATCGGCAGAGAGGTTTCTTTCCCTGACAACTTGTGGATACATTTATAACAAAAAGGGTCTGGCATGGTCTTGCGGGACTTTATCATTTTTTGCAATAACCACACTGTTTGGAGTAGGGGGGGGGGGGGGGGTTTAGACTTAGGTGTCTTGTGGGCGCTCTTTTCCTCCACCAGCCGAGTCAGACTTGGCACCCATGGTCTTCTCATTGACTGCAGCCACTGCCACTCCTCAGCAGGGCCCCTTGGGACTGCTACCCCTTCACTGGGCTCCTGGGTAAGCACTCCCAGTGGCAACTCCTCTAGGCTCCTGACTGGTCTCATGGGGAACAAAACATGGTGCCACCACCTTTAAGGTGGAAGTCCCGCCCTCACGGGAATACAGCTGAGAACAAGACTTGGCTTGCAGCCTCGCTCCCACTTCCGGTCCTGCAGAGAGCTGACGGCGAACTCCATTGCGGCCACCCCCGCCCCCCTACGGGCAGTCTCATGGCCCAGTCCTTTCCTGGAACACCAGCCACACTTCCCCTGTGCTTGGGAAGCTCCTACAGACTGGGACCCCTGGAGTGGGTGAGTGAACCCGGCTACACAGCATGGCCTCCCCGGCTCAGCTGCTTAACCCCCCAGGGGGGACCTTTCAGCCCCAGGCCTTAGGTCTCCAGATAAAAAACAAACGTTTCGCTGCCAGGAAAACACAATCAAAAACTGAGGGGTGGAGAGAAGGGCAGGGAATTTAAATTCTGTCATTTGATTGTGTTTCCTGTCAGGTGGAGCCAGTCATCTCTCAGGTGTGCCGTCCTGAAAGAGGATTAGAGAAATATCACTTTTAGGTGACTTGACCTATCTTTAGCCTGTCTGTATATCTTCCATGTCAGTTCAAACAACTCATCAAAAGTGCATATCAAATGACTAATGTAATACTTTGATGATATGCACAGCAAAGTCATTAAATAATATAAAGTTTTGGTTAGATGCTGAAAGTCTGAATGCTTAGACTGGTCTGATTTTTGCTTTTGCCCCCTTTCATACTGCAGTCTTAATCCTCCAGCTATAGAATATGAAATTCATATCTTCCTGCTGTTTTCTCTTCAAAGTATATACAGTACATGAATAGTCTAACAAGTAAGGCCTCCAATGCTATGACTTCAGCCAGCATGTGGATCTGTGAAACCAGGCACAGAAATATCCTATTGCCATTCTGAAGAGGTGTAAGACACCAGTGTGTCAATCAAATTGTGAGCATATTTGGAAATTGGGATATCTCTTTTGTTGCAGTGACCTATTAACTTTGGACACGGAGACATACCCGATTCTCTCTGCTGCTCCAGAGTGTCTACTTTTTCAGCTCTTCTGATAACGTCTACGATTGATTCTATTTCAGTTGGGTTCAAACATTGATGCTTTCTCTGCTTGTCCGTCCGGTAAGTGTGAACTGACCAACCGGTGTGCAACCTGCAAGTAAAATAAATGTAATAAGGATAGACTTCATGCTTTTACTATTTACTGTCAATGTGCTAGTAGCAGATCATTACACTATTTAAGGTGACCCAGTCACATTTTTAAAAAGTCTCAGTCGAAACATGTGCCTGTAAAAAAGAAATTGAATGAAACCTTTCCTGCACCGCAGAATGCCACTCCATTGATGAGAAATGCTCTCTAGAAGTTCATTTAGAAACTGTCAGTTTTGCCTTATAACACTGAATTGATTAGAGGAGTGGGCAAAAGAAAGGTGAATATATGCAGCTGGGGATATCAGAAGTTAAAGTAGTATTAAACTCTGCCCTTCTTCACAAAATTTTCCCACATACAGTGGGGATCGAAAGTTTGGGCACCCCAGATAAAAATTTGTATTAATGTGCATAAAGAAGCCAAGGAAAGATGGAAAAATCTCCAAAAGGCATCAAATTACAGATTAGACATTCTTATAATATGTCAACAAAAGTTAGATTTTATTTCCATCATTTACACTTTCAAAATAACAGAAAACAAAAATGGCGTCTGCAAAAGTTTGGGCACCCTGCAGAATTTATAGCATGCACTGCCCCCTTTGCAAAGCTGAGACCTGCCAGTGTCATGGATTGTTCTCAATGATCGTCTGGGAAGACCAGATGATGTCAATCTCAAAGGTTTTAAATGCCCAGACTCATCTGACCTTGCCCCAACAATCAGCACCATGGGTTCTTCTAAGCAGTTGTCTAGAAAACTGAAACTGAAAATAGTTGACGCTCACAAAGCTGGAGAAGGCTATAAGAAGATAGCAAAGCGTTTTCAGATGTCAATATCCTCTGTTCGGAATGTAATTAAGAAATGGCAGTCATCAGGAACAGTGGAAGTTAAAGCAAGATCTGGAAGACCAAGAAAAATATCAGACAGAACAGCTTGCAGGATTGTGAGAAAAACAATTCAAAACCCACGTTTGACTGCACGATCCCTCCAGAAAGATCTGGCAGACACTGGAGTTGTGGTACACTATTCCACTATAAAGAGATACTTGTACAAATATGGTCTTCATGGAAGAGTCATCAGAAGAAAACCTCTTCTACGTCCTCACCACAAAAATCATGGTTTTGCAAAATCACTTTGCAAATGAACATATAGACAAGCCTGATGCATTTTGGAAACAAGTTCTGTGGACCGATGAGGTTAAAATTGAACTTTTTGGCCGGAATGAGCAAAGGTACGTTTGGAGAAGAAGGGGCACAGAATTTAATGAAAAGAACCTCTGTCCAACTGTTAAGCATGGGGTTGGATCAATCATGCTTTGGGGTTGTGTTGCAGCCAGTGGCACAGGGAACATCTCACGAGTAGAAGGAAAAATGGATTCAATAAAGTTTCAGCAAATTTTGGATGGTAACTTGATGCCATCTGTGAAAAAGCTGAAGTTAAACAGAGGATGGCTTCTACAAATGGATAATGATCCTAAACACACCTCGAAATCCACGGGGGATTACATCAAGAGGCGTAAACTGAAGGTTTTGCCATGGGCCTTCACAATCTCCTGACCTCAACATCATTGAAAATCTATGGATAGACCTTAAAAGAGCAGTGCGTGACAGACAGCCCAGAATTCTCAAAGAACTGGAAGACTTTTGTAAGGAAGAATGGGCAAAGATACCTCAAACAAGAATTGAAAGACTCTTGGCTGGCTACAAAAAGCATTTACAAGCTGTGATACTTGCCAAAGGGGGCAGTACAAGATATTAACTCTGCAGGGTGCCCAAACTTTTGCAGACGCCATTTTTTTGTTTTCTGTTATTTTGAAAGTGTAAATGATGGAAATAAAATCTAACTTTTGTTGACATATTATAAGAATGTCTAATCTGTAATTTGATGCCTTTTGGAGATTTTTCCATCTTTCCTTGGCTTCTTTATGCACATTAATACAAATTTTTAGCTGGGGTGCCCAAACTTTTGATCCCCACTGTACCTCAGACCTTTGCTGGAGGTGTGGAGATGCCAAGGAGATATCCTGCACATCTTCTGGAGCTGTAATGACCTTGGTGCTTTTTGGTCTAAAGTGCAAATTTTTTTTAAAAAAAGTGGTTCTACTGGCATCATTTTATATATTCTAATATAAAAACATAGAAACTATTTGAGGATTTTTGCTCTTCTAAGCTTTCGGGTCTCAATGTGGGAGCCCCCCCCCCCCTCTGTTCTCCCTTTTCATCTGAGCTTCAGACAGGTATAAAAACAAACTCCAAATAATGCATGTATGCATTAAAATATATCTTTAGGAAAGGCTGATGGTTGGGGAGATTCACCACACTTTTTCTACCAGTGACCAAAGTTACCAAAACGAAGTAAGGGAAAATCCAAAATGTTACAGCTGTCCCCAGAACAAGAGGTGGAAGGAAATCTAATGGGGAAACGTGTTCCACAGACAACTGTCAGAGGATATTCTATTAACTTTCTATTGTGACTGTGGGAGAGGAGGTGGAGTTAAATGTATGGTACACAGGCAGCACAACAAAATTAATAAATAGAGGTTTTAACCCTTCCCTACTTAAAAAAAAAAAAAACAAATGTATAATGACTGGATCCTGCAGCTGACATACAGTTGATGGAGCAGCTTGAGGGAACAAATGGAAAAACGCTTCACATTTTGGATTCCATGGTTCATTTACAGAGACTCCCCGACTGTGGGAAGTGACACTTAAGATGGATTCAAGGGCGACAGGTTATGGGAGCTGACCACTTTTTCCTCCCTTTCTCTTCCTCCTCCTCTCCCCCAGCCACTTTTTTTTCTCTACCCATCTTCTTTTTTGGTTTGCATTTCCCTCTGCCCCCCAGAAAGAGTTTGTTGCTGAGATATATATATCCACATACACACACACACTGCCTTTTATTGTTGTTGATACAAATTTTAAACAATGTGAATTCATAGGTGCCTTTGGTACCCTATGCGTGCTTTGAAAAGTAAACGTGTGCTCTGTACTCTATTGTGACAGTGTTCAAAATAAATAATTTTTTTTTTTTTTTTTAAATGCATGCATACATTTTAAAATAAATGTATTTTTAAAAGTAACTAATGTAAATACCTACATGTGACTTCTCTTCTTATCACCCCCTTTATGGCATTACTCCGACTGGGAATAGGAGAAGTAACACTAGGGCCAATCAGGTGTGCTGTATGCACTTGTGCCAAGGAACAGGATGATAGCAGGAGGAAGCAGAGGGGTAAGCGTATCCATGTGCTGCATTTCCTTAAGGCCCCATGCACATTGAGTATTTAGCCCCAATGCATGGGGCTTCAGCACATAGCTTTGGGTGGAGGGCACAGGGGTCACATGCAGCCCTGCTGCCTGCTTCATGTCAAACGCTGCTGAGGCTGGTTGGGGCTGGACAGTGCACCTAGTGTGCGAACATTTAGGGAAGTATGCTCCTAGGGATGAATACCCAGAATCAGGGGTGCTGTTAGAAATCACGGGGCCCCATACAGCCAACCTGAAAGGGCCCTCCAATAAAACATAGTTTTCTATTTTTTTTTTTTTTTTTTTTTTTTTTTTTTTTTTTTTTTGTTTTTGGTTTTTTTTTTTTTTATTTTTTTTTTTTTTTTTTTTTTTTTTTTTTTTTCGTTTTTTTTTTTTTTTTTTTTTTTTTTTTTTTTTGTTTTTTTTTTTTTTTTTTTTTTTTTTTTTTTTTTTTTTTTTTCTTTTTTTTTATTCAGTTATGAATGAACACCATAAGTGATCGGTACCAATCACTCATTGCGCTCATTCAGGAAAGGAAGGGGCTTCCCCCACTCTCCATCCTGAAGGATTCCATTGTGTTCTTGCAGCTGCCGGTGTAAAGGAGAGGAGGGAAGCCAGCAGCACTGTGGGGGTGGGGGCATGGGATATGGGGATTGGTTCCAGTAAATGCCATTCCCCCGCATTGTGCCAATCACCCTCCCTGCTCACATCCGATTTACCCAGCTGCCTGGACCCCATACAGGAGGACTGGTGGTACCCCCTTATCCACAGCCCTGTCCAGAATGCAAGATGACACATGTGTCCTCCACCCAAAGCTAAATGCTGAATCCCCATGCACCAGGGCTAAACACCCGGTGTGCATGGAGCCCTACTACCCAATCACAGGCTGGGGCAGGAAGGTCATCAAGCTGTACTGCTTACCTGTAATAACCTTACCTATGGAAAATTAGGTCACCAGTCTAGTTGCGCTGTCTGTAGGGCTGTGTAAATCTCAGGACCAAATCATCAGAAATACACATCGTTTGACAGGTAAATCGGCTTTCTATTTGTGTTTTATTTATGCATTTAGCCATTTGTCTGGAGTTCAATTTAAATTATATACATCATTCCCTTTTTAAGCCCTGCTACCGTTGCTATTCTTTTAGAATATACAGTATTGCCATCTGTCTCAAGGTAATTCTTCAGGTTTATATACAGTATGCTGCTTTAATTACATACATTGAGTTCAGGTTTAATGGTAAAATACATTTCCTTTAAGCTTAGTTACCATTGTTATTCTTTTACATTTTACATTGCTACCTGCCTCAAGTTACTTGTCCTTCAAGTTTTACCATTTTACATGCTTTGAGTTCCTTAAATTGTATTATGCAAACATTTACAAAAGCTCAGTATTTGATGTGTCATACAAGAGGACTTCTTCAAAACCAAGATATGTAACAAGGTTAAAAGAAAAAAAAAATCTACTGCTTATCACTAACTACCAACAAAAAAAAAGGCTTTTTATGATTTGAAGATAACTGTAGAAAAAGTGGTGCTGTTTAATGAAATCTGAATGCTCAATGACCTGCAGCCTCAACTGTTGCTACAGTGTGTCATGAACAAAAGATAAACAAATAAGATCACTGACACCACTGATAGAAAGAGGTTTACACTCTCTCTATTGGATGTTTTACTGTGTTGAGACTCACCTTTCCTATTTTTCCCAGTAACCTCTGTAACCAGAACTGATTGTAAAGAAAAATCCAAAATTTTAGGTTACCA